GAAACGTCAGCCTTCCTGCTCCTCTGATGCTGCTTGGCCTGCTGTGTTCATCCAGCTCTACACCTTGTTATTTCAGGGTAGACAGGAGCCCCAGTTTAACGACTTCTCTGAATAATCGCACCTCCCCTCTGGAGTAGCAGCCTGAGCCAAATGGGACTGGACCGTTCTGCTTCAGAGGCAAGAATACAAACTGAGCCATGGATGGAACCTTCAGCACCAACCCTTTTTGGACACGTTTTTTCCAGAATTCCACCTCCCGTTTGTGAAATGCCTTGATGTGTCTTGCTCCTTTTATTGTGATTAGGTGAGATGGCAATTGTTTGAATGTTGCACTGACAAAACTTTTCCTTTGTTTGTCTCTCTTTGTTCTCTTGCAGCAATTGTTAATCCAAAGCAGCCCAAGGAGGCCCCCAAGAGTTTCAACTTTGACTATTCCTACTGGTCGCACACCACGGTATGTAGCCTCCTGAGACCCCAGTCTGTAGAACAGAAGGAAGTAAGCAGAGATAGTGCGGTCCAGCCCCTGCGGTGCCCACCTTTTCCAAAAGGCTTAAAAACTAAACCACCACCAAATCACCTGTTTGACAAACTAAGCAATGGACAATTTACAAGTACTGCTCCCTAGCAACCCAGCTGTTCAGTTTTTTTTAATAAGTTCAAATCCTGCCAAAGCAGATGGTGAAATTTGAATTCAGTAAAAATATGGAATTGGGAGTCTAATGACGATCACAAAATCATTGTTGATTGTTAAGGAAGGAAAAAACCCACTAATGTCCTTTCAAGAAGGAAACTGCCAACATGGTCTGGCCAATGTGTGACTCCAGGCCCATAGCAGAGTGGATGATTCTTAACTGCCCTCTGGGCAATTAGGGATGGGTAATAAACGCTGCCTATCCAGTGATGCCCTTGTTGCCTGAATGGATAAAACAAAAGAAGGGAAGGGTAAGGAACGAGGGAGAGGATTAACTTAAAATGGAGTTGGAGAGGAAATTAATGCATTCCACCTCCTACAAAGTCCACTTCTGTTGAAATGCCTCGAGGGTATTGGTGGGCACCACATGCTCCCTTTCCAAGGACACCCAGACATGGGCATTGTCACAGAGAATGGGCAGATGGTCAGGAACTACAAACCCCTATTCATCCTGCTGCCTGGACCTATTCATAAGGACCTGGCTCCTGAAACTTTCCAATCAATCTGTTCAGAGATGCTCTGTCAGATCTCTGGAGAAGGGGGACTTGAACCCAAGCCCCCTAGCCGAGAGGTGGGGACACTACCACTGCACCATAAGCACCCAGTTTTGATACAATGTGTATCATCTTCTCTCAATCCGCTCTGGTGCTGTTCTGGTTGACAGTCAAAGGAAACTGCATTTCTAATACTATATTACCCCGAGCTGAACCTACCACTATTGGTAGCTATTGATTTGTCAGTGTATATTCTCTATATAATCAATTCTGTATCTATCATATGCTGTGTAAATCCCGAATGTGTTTCACAAGACGGTGTAAAGAAACTTTACTCCATATCCGAAATGTGCTGCCCCTGACCTAGGAGTGTTTGTTGAGTTTATGCCTCCTTGTTAATGATTGATTTTCCTAAGTATTCATCATCACACAAAGTAACAATCCCTCCCCTGTACAAATGAACCTCCAAATTTAGAGGTCACCTTTGATGTTATTATCATTCGTTCAGAGAGGAATGTGGTACACTTGGAGCTGGTGCATGACAGGAGATTGAACAGAGTTAATGATTGAGGAGGCTGAGTCCTATTCTAACGATGACCATTTTCTGCCTTCATCCCAGCCGGCCGACATCAAATATGCCTCCCAGCAGCAGGTATACCGAGACATTGGGGAGGAGATGCTCGAACATGCCTTCGAAGGATACAACGTCTGCATCTTCGCCTATGGACAGACTGGGGCAGGGAAATCCTATACCATGATGGGCAAACAGGAAAAGGAGCAGCAGGGAATTATCCCACAGGTAAAACCCAGGCTGCCCAGCATCCCCCATACAGGCTGTTCCTCCAGTACAGGCCATGAAGCACTGTGTCCGCCGTGTACTCTCTGTGTCCTCAGCACAGGCCGTGTACTCGCTGTGTCCCCAGTACAGACCGTGTACTCGCTGTGTCCTCAGTACAGGCCGTGTACTCGCCCTGTCCCCAGTACAGACCGTGTACTCTCTATGTCCTCAGCACAGGCCGTGTACTCTCTGTGTCCCCAGTACAGGCCGTGTACT